AAGTTTAAGAGTGAGCTTCCATGTGCTTACATTACTCCGCCTCCTGGCCACGGTCAGTTGGTCCAGGAGCCCAGTCAGAATCTTCCTTGGCATTTTTGGACTTGGAACCAGTGAGCCAGTCTCAGATCCTCCCTGTAGAGCTCTTTGTAGTTCTGTCGAGGTAATTGGTCAAAGAAGCAGAGATGAGGGGCAGAGAGAGTATCCCCATGATTCTCAGATCTAGGTTCCAATTAACCCTAAAATATGAAAAATGATTTTGAAATAAACAATGCTGTCACCTTTGGGGTTATATAACCAGCTGTAATGATCTAGTGCACTTCCATAAAATGTATCAGGCGCTTACCATATACAAGTCTCTGTTGCTAGGCCCCAAACATGCAAAGATGAATAGTGCCACACAGTTCATTGGAGTTTGTCATGTGCAATGGCAAGGGGCTATGGAAGCCCCCAGAGGAAGTGCCTGATCCGCTTGGATGTACGGATTGGGGCCAGGTTCAGAAAAAGTTTTCTAGAAATGGATTTTCATAAGGTGAGTAGGAATTGTGTGAGGATGCCTGTGAAATTACTCCAAGCAAAGAGAACTTGCTAAGCAAAGTCTAGATGATGGTATGAAACCGTGTTTGAGAAACTACAACCATTTTAAGTGCTGCAGGGGGCGGGAGGGGGGATGCATGGCTGTGACTAAGGCAAGTACAGTGAAGGGCCTGTGAACACTGCAATAAGTCACTTTTTAAAAAAGTCATATGTATTTAAAAAACAGCAACAGCAAATCAATAACAAACAACATGAATCTGAATCTCTGATTCTCCCCCAAATACAGGGACTATCAAGCAGGTTTCCACTAACAATCGCTACCTTTTATTTTCTTTTAAACAAACAGAAAATTTGACTTAGGAGTGAAATGAATGTTTAAAAAACAAACCTGATCTGCTTTAAATACCAAACTCTGTTTAAATAACACAGAGGTTGTGACATCCATTGACAAAGCCAGGAAGTTCAAAGGCCTGCCGCCGACACAATGTATTGGGTTCTGCTGTTGTTGGCATCCCTCCGCCTGTGGCAGGTCCTGGTGTTTGTTACTCAGATCTGCATGTGCAAGGAGACATTCCTCAAACTTCAAGACTCTTTTTACTTTGGGGAAAAATTTATTTTTAAAAATGCTTTTCGTAAGCAAGAACAACAATTGGTAGTAATGGCTGCTACTTTTGTGTCTTTTGAATGTCAAGTTCCAAGAGTAACTTAAAGTCTTTTTCTTGAGCAGATTTTAGCTATTTTAAAGGTTTTTTTTTTTAAGTTTATACTTTTACTGACATCCATCTCCAGAAATTTTTCATTATCTCAAACTGAAACTCTCCACCCATTAAACACTAACTTCCCATTCCCCATTCTTCCCAGGCCCTGAAAGCCTCATATTATACTCTATTTGAGTCTGACTATGCTAGGTACCTACTACAGGTGGAATCATACAGTATTTGTCCTTCTATGTCTGACTTATATTACTTAGCATAATGTCTTCAAGTTTCAATCAAGTCATAGCATATTACAGAATTTCCCTTTTTTTAAGGCTGAATAATATTCTATTGTATGTATAAACCACATATTGCTTGTCCATTCATCCATCAGTGGACACTTGAGTTGCTTCCAAATTTTGGCTATTGTGAATAATGCTGCTGTGAACATAGGTTTGCACATTTGAGTCCCTGCTTTCTGTGGATTCTTTTTTCAAAAAAGCTGAATGGAGCTTGTGTAGACCCTTCTTGAGTTTCTGGCTGTGAGAGTCAGGGCGTTAGTTCTACTGCTCACTGCTGTGAAGTAGCCAGGCCTCTGGAGCAAGTCACACACCATCTCTGGGTCACAGTTTCCCCCACTTCTGAGCTTAGGGAATCCCTTCCACCTCTCAAGTTCCACCCCTAGGCGACTATGCATAAGACATTCTGTACCCAGACTTGCACAGGCAGCCACTCCTGGCTTCTGTTTGTTCCTCATTGGAATTAGAAGTGGAGTAGGCTCTTGGCATGAATAGATTTATCATTCATATTTTGAGTGTTCTTGAGCTGCCCTGGCAGCCTATGGCATATAGAAATCTACTTTTTGGCTGAGGTACAAATTTGAACCTCTCACACGGTGAGGTGGATGTGTGAGTGTAAGTCACTAAGTGGATAAGTAGGGCTGATCAACTGCCCGGTGCCAAATGCCAAAAGCAGCGAAGTATTGTCAGCTGCTATTCATCCTTATGCAGTGATTTTTCTAACTTTGATGATGTGGTGTGTGTGTGTGTGTGCGTGTGTGTGTGTGTGTGTGTGTGTGTGAGAGAGAGAGAGAGAGAGAGAGAGAGAGAGAGAGACTCCACAAAAAGAGAGAAGAGATCTGAATTCTAGGGTTGATAATGGAAATAAAAGAAAGTGCAGAAGCCTAAGAAACTGAAGGTTCTTACTGAAGTAGATTAAAAAGTGGCCCATCCAACTCCACAGCAGCTCTACAGTGCAAACAAGTTCACTGTACATTCGCTACAGAAACAAGACAATGCTATTTGTGAAATTTCAGCGAGTCAGCCAGCAGAATATATGCTCATTGAGAGATAAAAATTTAGAGAAGTTTGAAAAAGTGGCCTGGGAGAAAGGCAGGAGACTATACAAACATTTCCAGGAAGCAGCAGATGGCAAAGGCACCAGTGTGGCTACTAAACCAACCTTATTTTCAAGTAAGGGCTGGTTTGAAATTTTAAGATGTGTTTTTCTTGGCACAAGGTGCAGTTAATAGGAACAAGTAGGCCAGCTGTCTATCTCACAGCAGACGAGAATTTTCCTAAGCTAAAGAAACTCACAGAGGAACAGAGACACAAGTCCTTGGCTGTGACTATTAGCAGGGCATGTGGGAGGTGTCACCTTCACAGACTAGACTGAAAGTCATATGAAAAAGACAATCAGAGAGTGAGGAGAGAAACTGTTCAAAGAAGGTTGTGAATATATATGTGTACCGAATTATCACATTGTGCACTTTGAATATGTACAATTATGTTTGTCAAGTATTCCTCAATAAAGTTGGAAAAAAAGGGAAAAAGGAGCTGATAAAAAGAAGCAAAGGACATGAAGACAATGGTGAAGAATTAGGAAAGCCTTTGGAAATTTAGTGATGTGTTCCAAGCTGCCAACAGCACTAATATCCTTCCATTGAATGGAGCCTTTTTCAGCAGTTCCAAAACATACATCTCCATTGGCACCACCCCAGGAAATGTTCAAGAAGTTGCAAAAGTAAAGAGGGATTAATAAAATTAACTTCGGTTAAGACTAAGGAAGCAAAGGAAGGAAAAAGGGAAGAGAAAATGACAACGAAAGTAAGAATAAAAGAGAAGGTGATAAAAATGGGTACAAATGAGATAAAATACTATTTCTCCAAACAGCTAAATGTAATAAGTTGGAAAACATAGATGAAATACATGTTTGGAAAAACTGAAAATGGCAAACTGCAATTAAAGAGAAGGAGAAGACTTGATCAGGACAGTGGTCATTACCCATTCTCAACTAGAAGCTTCCACAGTAAAGATTACCTTAACCCTTTATGGGAAAATAAGGAAAGCTGATGAACTAATTTATGTGGTTGGTATCACCTTGTTTCTAAAACTAGATTATTGCTTTGCACGATAATAAAATTTTGGGCTCACTTGATTTATACTATAGATGCAGATGTCCTAAATAAAACAAAAGGAGGGTGGAATGGAAGAACAGGTACCACTTATGCTCTTTACGATAAAACCCAGTGCTCAGCACTTTGAAATATCTTTCCCATTGCCCTTTGCAATCGTCTCTCTGACTCTGTTGCCACTTCATTTTTGTTCTTGAAGGCCTTCTTATTCTCAAGGTTTTTGGCTACAAATCCATAAAGGGAAGCAAACAGAAAGTGACTCCAAATGGGTAAACTACAAAGGTTCCAAAGTCTCACGAAGTTTCCAAAGTCTCACGAAGTTTATCTACTGAGAGTTCCTGGCTCATATTTCCAGACTTCTTTTTGAGATGGTAAATGAATGACAATGAGACTTATTAATGTACTTCCTTCTTACCATCTGCTCACTTGGAGACCTGAAGAGGCTTCTGACATAACATGTGAAGTCCCCTTTAGTGAGATGGTAGTTGACCTTTCCAAGGAGTGACCCATCCCAATACAGCCTACTTCTTACTTCTTGCAAGAAAGGAATTCTTAAGGGTGACCTTCCCAATGGAAGTTGTTTGGTATTTCAGAATGCAGAATACTGGGGAGACAAAAATCTTTTCCTAAGCAGACATTCCAAGTGTTGACAAAGTTGGGGCTTTGGTTCACGCACACTCTTTGTGCCAAATGTTTAGATGCTCTGTGGAAGTCTGAGTCCCGTTATTGCCATTTCTAAGAGACTTTTCTGTAATTCCTGGCTGAGAAAGATATGGGGGTAACCTCTTCCTTCTCCTTTGGAATCTAGATCTTTGCAAATAATTAACAAATAAATTGCTCCCTTCCACAGGAAGCACGTGGATTCTTAGAATGTGTGACATGGGCCAGAAAGAGGCATTAGGACAGAGAAGAGATGGCACTATGAGAAAAGGCAGATTGATAGTTTTCATCTGGAGGTTCTAGGAACAGGTTAATGAGCACCACTGACCTTGGGATTAATTCTGTGCAGACTAGACAAGATGGAAATGAGTATTCTTACTACACCCTTGCCCTGGAGAGGATGAGTGAGGTGTTGGTTCTGTGTCTCTTCTTTTGAAGAGTTTGGAAATGAAATGCTTCTTTGAAGATTCCCACCTCCAAAATAGACTAGGATTTAGCACTTTCTGTACCAAATGCTTTGCTCAGAGGCAGCACTAAATACAGGACTTGGAAATGTGTGGGGAAAGGGACATGAGGTGGAAAGAAATGTTAATGTTGGAGATCTGAACTAACGTGAACTAAGCCTGTGCAAATGACTTTAGGGAAGGTCACTGAAGTCCTACCTCTCTGATGACCTTCTGTTGGAATTATTTCTGCAGGTGATCACAGCTGGTTTATCAATATTGCTGTTTGATACGATCCTGACCAGCGCAACTGTGGGATGGTAAGTCTTTGTTTGCATAGAAAGAGGAAATGAAAAGTAGTTATTTGGGTTTCATCAGGATACTAATTTTTGCTCTCAAATGTTGAAGAAAGGGTATGTGTATTGGGTATATATTTTGACATTTAAATATACATTTAGAAGAGTGTGTATATCATGACTATACAACTTAAAGACTTTTCACTAGCTGAATACATTATACCTACTACAACCAGCAACCAGATCCAGAAACAGAACATGACCAGTATACCTTCCAGCTACTCATCCACACAAGAGTAAACATTATTGGTGACTCACTATTTATATATATAGCTATGTTTGGGTTTTTTTTCTTTGACCCTTCCATTTACTTTCTCTTAGACAAGCTTCAGATCACCCTTGCTTAGAATGTATTCACCCATTTGCTTAAAGACAGCACTGCATGTCCCTGTGATGTTTGAGCAGAGACCTGAAGGAAGTGAGGAAGTGAGTCATGGGGTTATTGGCGGAAATAGCAAGTACAAAGGCCCTGAGGTGGGAGTTGCTTTGTCTGCTTGAGGAGTAATGTGACCAGAGCAGCATGACAAGGAGAGTAGTAGTAGGAGATGAGGATAGAGAGGTGGTCAGCAGCTGACCATGTGAGGCCTTAAAGCCCATTGTAAAGGCTTGATTTTAGCTTGACTGAGAGGGGAGGCGATTAGAGGATTTTGAGCCACATGCTCCTTTGTCAAAAATGTATCCCTCTGTCTGCTGTGTGGAGAATATGCTATAGAGGGGGTGGGGAAGGAGCAGAAAGACCGATTAGAGGCTCTGGCAATGATCTAGATGCAAGATGGCTGAGAACAGGCTGGCAGCACTGGAAATGGTAGGGAGTGGTAGGATGCCTGAGGGTAAAGGCAATAGGATTGGAGAGAAAGAGAGGAGTCTGGGAGGACTTCTAGATTTTTGGCCTGAGCAGTGGAAAGAATTCAGTTGCCTTTCAGAGAAGGGAAATAATATATGAAGGGCAGTGTTCTGTAAGGGGGGTAGAGGATTAGCAGGAGTCGGGTTGGAGATATTAGGACTGAGGTGCCTGTTACACCTGGGAGTTGAGATATCAGTAGGTAGGTGACTAAACTGGCCTGGAGATCAGGGGAGAGAGAGGCTTCTGTGCCTTCACCCTGGCATCCGCGTTCCCACCTCAGAGCCTTTGGGCTCATCTGCTCAGCCTGGAGTGCTTTCCACCCAGCTTTGCGGTTGTCCGCCGACTTTCCTCCAGGTTTCTATATCCAGGCAACCTCAGAAAGGCCTTCCCTGACCACATTCTATAGAAAGTGTCCTCACTACTTCCTGTTTCCTTGGCTCTTTCCTTCCTGGTGGTTCCGATAGTCCTCACCTTCCTTGTTCACTGTTCCGCTCATTAGGGTCTGCCTCCCTCATAGAAGGTGGTGCCCCCCGCAAGGCGTATGGGCTCTGTGGTAGATGCAGGAGAGAGCTGGTGAAGGGCGTTAAACAGGTTATGACTCAAGCACATGGCTACTTTAGCGGGATGGCTGGGGCAGCCACATGGGACAATGACTTTGGAGAGGATACCCAGGAAATAGATGTGGTGGCTGTGATGGTAACTTCAGATCACACCTCTTGGAAAAGGCCACACAGCCGTGTAACATAGGCCAACTAGTGACAAGGACATGTGGAGGTTGCTCAAATGCCTTACTACCATAGAACGACAGCCCAATTGGAGCGCTTCATCTTGCCCTTTAAAAACAGGCTACTGAGCTGTCTGTCTGTGACAGAGAAAACAGGTCCTATGGGCTTGTTTGGGCCAGGTGGTCACAGCCACACTGGGAACAGAATGACGCAGTCTTGTACGTTCCACTTCCGAACACTCCACACAGACTCTGCCCATTGAAGAGCTGACCAAGTTAAGACTTTGCTCCCCTGCAGATTACTATATGCAAAGCAGTCGATGCCATCATCACCAAGGGTTTTGTTTGTTGTCTGCAGGGAGAGGAAGGTAAGGGGTGGGGGGGTCAGGTCATGGTGAGTTTAAACTCTTAAAACTGCTAGTTATTTCCCTAATCAATGGGCATGCTTCCTTAGGGGAGTATATACTTATGTATTTTTAAATTATATAGTAATGTATCCTATTTATGAGATGTTTAAAACAATACAGAAATGTATCAAATAAAAGTAAAAGCCTGTTATCTTCCATTTCCACTATTGTCGCTTGTTAGAAGTCATGACAGTTTCATTTAATGGTGAGAAAAATGCAATGTTTAGTTTAGGGATGTTTATGCCAATGAGGTGGGCTCTATTGTCTCTAAAATGAAACCACATAGAGTGGTGCTTTCCTTGTCACCCATACGTTTAGTCCTGGCTGGGTCTTCGCTCGGCCTATAGGTTGCTGGCCTGGTGACACACAGCTTTCTTTCCCTGTGACTATGGCTGTCTCCTGCCTGGCCTGAATCACTGATGCAGCACATTGTGGAGAATAATTCATATTTGTTGTGGCTGCTTACTGGTCTACTGTCTTTTGATTTAGAAAAAAGAACAAGCATAGGATCCCTTAAAAATAAAGCTTGTTTCCATTCCAATTTTGATATATTGTTTAGCACGGGAGTTCCTAACCTCTGGGCTGTAGACCGGTACTGGTCTGTGGCCTGTTAGGAACTGGGCCACACAGCAGGAAGAAAGTGGCAGGTGAGCGAGCAAAGCTTCATCTGTATTTGCAGCCACTCCCCAGTGCTAGCATCACCACCTTAGCTCCACCCCAGATCATCGTGCATTAGATTCTCCTAGGAGCACTGGTCCCTGAGCCAAAGAGTCTGGGGATTGCTGGTTTAGCATATCCCCCACCCCAACCCCTTGGAATGGCACTCCAAAATTGAGATGCAGACAAGGTTTAGAATAGGGTTTCATATTTCTTCACCAGTATTATTAAAAGAAAAATCATACTGTTGCTCAGCTTTATGGCATAGTTCTAGAAAATCAGCATTTTTCTCATGTTTGGGATCAGAGCAATTCTAAGAGCTAGTCCTCCATTTGCTTGCAAGTTGGACCTGCAGAATTGTCACCTGTTTGACTCAAGGACCGCAGTGCTGGTTGGTGGGGGCTGGCACTGGTGCCTGGGTGTGCCCATGGTAGCCTCCCATCTCCTAGGACTTCTCGTGAATAATCTCCTGGTGCTGTCGTAGCCACAGAAATAACGGTGTTGTTTTTAAATGTCGGTAGGCAATTCCTGCAGGATAAACGTGAGGAGCAGGACTAAACTCTGTGGACACCATAATGAGGAAGTGCAGGAGGTGACTTTGCATCCCATGTGGCATAGGGCTGGAAGGGGTTCATATAATAAACAGATATTTAATGAGGGCCTAATATGTGCCAGGAACCATTCTTGGATAAAAGTGGAAAATTGCAGGCCCTGTGGTGTCTAGATTTGCTTCTCTCCCTGCCTGAGGGCAGGTCCATATATAAACCATCCCAGACTGATAGAAATGAATCTTTTTGCGCACAGCATTCAGAACAAGGGATTCCTGTCCTCTTTTGGGAGCCCCTAATGGGGAGCTCCAAGAAAAAAATGGAAGAAAAAGAAAAATTAAGAAATACTCCCTCACTCTTCTGTTCTTCCTCCTCTTCCTGGTCTCTCCTCTTCTTCTTTTTAATAATAATGACTAACCATTTACTGAGCAACTTACTATGTTTCAGACATTTTTACATTAATATTAGTTCGTTGAGTTTCACAACAACCTCCAGGTTATCCCCATTTTAAAGATAAAGAAAATGAGGTCCAGGTCTGTGTGTGTCCAAGGCCCCATAACCTGCCCTGCACCTCCCTAGAACTGATTCAGGGAACACTAAGGATTTACCAGCAGTGTAGATTGTGTCTAGGTAGAAGTGGGCCATAAAGGAGGTGGAAGAAAAATTGGCCTACATCTTCCTCTTCCCACCAGTGTGATCATCTATAAAGTGCATCTAGATGATCTGGTGGCAAACAGAAGGAGCATTACCCAGGGCTAGATAGCTCTGTCTCTTATTCAGGAATTGACATGGTGAACTGAGAACTTGGGCGGGACATTTTTAAGAAAAAGATCTCACTGTCTTCAATTTTTACTACTATAAGCTATAATTCTGTCAATCAGCTAAAACATTTATTGGGTGACTGCTGTATGCAAAATTTGCAGAAGTCATTAAGAAGCAGAAGACATCATCCAGCCCTCAAGAAGTTTTCAGGGGAAGGAGAAATCACAAAGATAATTTGTGGGGTAGATAGTAATTGAGCGCATAACGAATGTGAAGACTGAAGGAAAGTGCGAGGCCTTGGAACTGCCTTGAAACTAGATCTTATGCAGAAGGGAGAGGCTTAGCCAGGCTGTGGGTGGAAGAGGATCTGGCCCTTCTTGCCCCAGGAAGACAGGAAAGTATGGAGGGGCAGGAAGTGCTAATGGTGAGACAATGATGATAAGCAGAGCTGGGGCTGAGGGGCAGGGAGCCAATCCTATGCTCTCTTTCTTTCTCTGCACCTGTCTTTATGGGCCAGCACAACATAAATGGTGAGCAGGTTGGTGTCTAAAAACCCAACTGTCAAGTTATCCTAGTGCATTCTTGAGGCTGTTTCCCAATTTTGTGTCTTAACTTTCATAGTTATAGTCTAAATTCTTGACAGTATTTTTCTTTCTTACAAATAAACCTCCATTGACCATATCTTGTACAGAATTTCAGAGTGAACTAAAAAAAAAAAGAAAAGAAAAGGAAAAAACAGGTGTTGAACTGAGTGTGAGAAATGCAAGTGAGATGGTGCTCCAGTGGGAGGAATGCTAAGTCTGAATATTACAGCATAGTTGCTAAGAGGCCGAGTCTCCAGGCTGTTTCACATCCTGTGAACTTTATGGTGTGCCCCAAACAAAATGGAGAGAAAAGCATATGTACCCAAATCAAAGAAACAACATGTGTCATTACTGCAAAAGGAACCTTGACTTTGGAATTTCCTGATTTTTAAGAACCCTTGAGTTTAAGGATGGTTTGTTTTCAGCCTCCAAGAATTT